AAAAAAAACCGAATAAAATAAAAGTATGGAAAAAATATTTTAATTCTGAGGGAGGAAAGCAATCATCAAAACATGAAAAGGGAACCGAAAGGAGATTCGAACTGTTTCTTAAAACTTAAACTCAAGCTGTGACTCTCAAAGCTGTCCTTGTACCGATTATTTTTCAAAGCAGGGGAGCTGTTGAGCTGGACTATGCTACATACTGCAAAAAGCATCGGGAACGTTTCCAGTACGTGTGCCCTGATCCGCTGCGTTTTCGAAAGCATTCGGCAGATGCACTGGCATTTTGCGAGCGTTATTCCGGGCGATGCCCATCCGAGCAGGTTCCCTCAGAACCGGTTCCGTTTCAACAGGTATTTGTCATTCCATTTTTGCAACCTTTCTACCAATTAACCTTTTCCCTTACGTTCCTCTCCATCCTCTTACATCTCATAGCCCACAACGAACCGGAAGTTGCTGCTGTTCAAACAAATTTTGCTCAGAGAAAAATGAGAGGTTGTAATTATGTTGGCGTATAGTTTGAATCTTGTAGCGCAGCTAATTGAAGCGAATTTTGGAAAAAACTCTTTGCAATATTTGGAAAACTTATTAGATCATAAAAATAATTTTTTAAAACTATTTTTAACACATCTTTTACATATTTTTCATTGAGAAATATTGGAAAATTTCGTGAATTTAATGATTTTTATGAATAAAAAATTTTTATGAATAAAAAATTGACAGAAGAAAACGCCTTTCAAATCTTACCCGCATGCATTAAAAAAGAGGTTTTTGTGCCATTTTCGAAAATGTCTTATGCTTATGTGTTACAAATCAATATGCTTTAAAAATTCTTCACTGTTAATATCCCTGGAAGTTCTTTTGTCACAAGACTTCTAAACTTTTTGAAAAGCTAAGGATTTATCGCACTTTCGAACCTCCAGGATGCAAAAGATGATATTTTTTCAGAAAAAGGAGTACTACATGCGTGAACTGGAGTACTTATGCAATGGACAGAAGCACTTTGCTGAGACATACTGCACTAACGCAGTGGCACTGAAACTACTTCGATACTTGCTTCCGTGCATCCATTACAAATTTACTTGCATAGACTCGCTTACCAGAGTTATCTACACCGGGTGATAATACTTGTTTCTGAAGGCAGCAATAAGGCGTAGCGCGCTTCTTGTTGGTTACTTTATTTCAAGAAAAATTCAGCGTAGACAAACACTGAATTGACAAAAAAACTTTTTTGAAAATATTGTGTTGAATCGTTATGGTCAAGTGTTACGGAACCAATATAATTAGTTTAGAAATATCAGAGAAGAAAACCAAGGGGAGGAGGAGCGAGGGGCTAAGGAAAGATGCGCTGATAGTTTCTGAATGCACTCGAGAATCCTAAATTGTTTTATTATAGATCGTTTTTTTTGCCTCATTTCGAATTTTCATCTGAAAGTTCATCTACTACCACGAATTAACTGAAAGATGATGCATTGCTATCACTTAACATTGTTTTCAACTGAACAATTAGGACAAACAATCCATTCACGATTCGTTCATTCCCTTTTGATGATGAACTGCATATACCATGGAGTCAAACCTGCCCTCATCTCGCTTGTAAGCAGTTTTCGAACGAAGGAGCCACTAACAGACACGCCAACAGTAGTTGCTAAGGAGGAGGACCGGCTGGGTTGGGGGAAAACTGGAGGATGGGGATGGAGGGACGGAGGGGAGGGGAGGGGGCAAGAAAATGACTTTGAACTGGAACATTTAGAACCTGCTCTGTCCTTACTATGTGTCTTACTGATAAGATTCTTAGAAAATCTGTTTCTGTTGTATGGTATTTTAAGAAAGAATTACAAAATGTAACAAAGTACTGAAAGGCGGGCACTTCAGTAGAATTTTCAAATTTCGTCTCGTTTATCTTTAGTATTTTGTTTTTGTGCATTTTCTCGTTTCTATGCAAATGAAAAACACTTATATGGCCAAGAGGTTGTCTGTGTGTGGGTTTGCTTAGAGGCGTGTCAACTTTGTCACGCACTTTCAATACTGCAACTGGAAAAACAAAGAGGCTGAAATTTTAGGGGCGTACTCGCATATCATTTGCCATTTGTCTTTTTCGTAATCTGCGTCCAGCTACCCCTGTGTTTCGTGTATAATCGCCTGAAAGAAAACACAATTCTTTTTGAGGGGAAGCGATTTCGGGAACCAGCAAAACAGTAAGCTGAAACTTCGCAAAGACGTCCTCTTTGCAAATGTGAACCAAAGATTTCAGATTCACTTATTGCCCAAGCTTGCATCGTGAGTACAACCGCGTCGAAATTTTCACTGTGCTAGCTCGAGAATTGGCTGAAAAATGATAACTGTAACTTTGCAAGAATATTTTTGCCCATTTGGGAACTGGCGTACTTAAATGGAATTTCGAATCATACTTGCATCACGCTTTAGACCAAGTCGAAGATATATGCTGAGAAGTATCGATTTCGGGTGCTGGACAAGTTATGGAGTTGAAATTTTACAACGATATTCTATATTGAGCTGTGGTCTAACTTCAGATTACAGGCTGAATTCCTCGCTTGATGACAAAACAAACACTCAGCTCTGTCTCGGCCTTAAGAATGAGCTTAATTCACCCAGATATCATCCCCTTTTTGCATATCCCGTTCGTTGTCTAATTTGCATTTTCAATGAACGATTGGTATCAGAAAATTTTTTGCTGCCTTTCGTGTGGGACTTACATGCGTTCTTTAGACTACTCCATGATTCAGCACGGCTGTTTCAGTAAATGCTCTTTTCCATCCGCATGCAAAAAGGACCAAAACACAGCTAACATAAGTGCAAGTGTTAATCATAATGCAGCAGCTACTGTTGCTGCTTTATGATTAACATTTGCACTGTTACAAACTGACTGCTATAAACTGACTGCTTCAAGCTTAGCGTAGAGATGCATGATCACACCAAAAACTCTTAATTTATCTGTTCTTATGTTAATAAAAACAATGATTATATGTTGCACGTTGCAAAGCAAACGATATTTCATTCGCAAAATTTCAGAGAGCGAAATTTTTAGAGGTTACCATGATTACAAGACTTTGTAAAGTTTTTTTTT